GAAATAAGATCATTACACCTAAACCAAATATTCGATTTTTTGATTATGCTTGTGTAATGACCGCTGTGTAATGATTCTCCGTGGTGGCAAATTTCAGAACACAAGTTATAAGTGTTGTCGTCAATTTTTATAGTTGTTGTTGGTAGAGATACTAATGATGTATTTTTCATTTTTTCTAATAACTCATTCCATAATTGTATTTGTATATACACATATTGACTTGGAATAGATACATGCATTATTTTAGAATATAATGGTTTCCTTTTATATTGCAATTACTACATTTAATTTCAAAAACTATTTCTTTACTAAAATCATTAAATAATGAATTAAATTTTTTTTTGCAATTTAGTTGGCATATTTATAATTAAATAAATGCAAATATTTTTTCTTTAAAATAATAAATACAGCTATTTTTATAATAGCTCAATGTAGACTATTATGTTGGTTATACCAAAGTCATATTGTACGCAAATACGCGAACAGAACAAACATTAAGATAACACGCTAAAATAAAATACAGCGATAGACGACAACTACAAACGACGGCAGATAACGAAATGAATGCATGGTTATGACCCGCCGACCACCGACTCGAGAGTATACTCGGCACTAATAATAATTTCTCCCATCTAGGCCTTGAGCTGCATACACGAAATCGAGTGGGGGAACCAGCCGATGCGACGACGACGGCTAGAGTGATTCTGAATTTAATATAAATTTCCATTAAAAATGTCGCACTTTTTCATGTATAATTAAATTTATAAGCGTGCAATTTTGATGATTTTTACAAAAGCACGTTCTACACAATATTCCTGATTTTTTGGTGTTTACTAGGAGTTAATTGATGCTTTACTATTGATGAGCCGTGCATTAAAATCTTATGAATACTTGGTGGGATGTAATACCAACTGTATAAATTTGTATGTCAATGTCACATCTTAACGCTTTGATTGTATCTTGAGGCGATCGCGCATTTAAAAAAGTTCTAAATCGAAGTATAATACTTGATTGATCATCGGCAATTCTATTACTTAAAAATTCCTTTGTGCTTTTCACTATTTCCGTTCAAACACAGCGCTTCGTTGAAACATACATTTCGAACTTTTCTATGGTTCTTAGTACTAATATTACCATCGTTTATTTCATCGCTGTTATCGGATATTTGATCATCTAACAATTTATTTAGTTCTTCCTCCTTACCTCCAGGATAATAATCAGTCTCCATCAGCTCTAAAGATGAGATGGCTGTGTTTTTAGACGTCTCAATGTCACATAATGTAACCATTGACCATCCTTTTGAGGCCGTTCAAAAAGGCAAAGTAAGTCCATCATTAATACCGTATAAAATATTTGATCTCCATCTTCTTTCCATACTTTTATTACAAAAATCCTCTGACCATTGCTTTCTCTTTTCTATTACTAGTATCAGTATCAGCTGTAGCTATGTTATTCCAATGCTCTCTTATAGATGGCATATTTTTCCAAACAGATTCGCACAATAAAATTAGATGTTCTACAAAACGAACTTTAAAATATTGCGGAAATCTGTAAAATTTTACATTTTCCTTTTCCGAAATCGCCTTGAGTTCATCGGTACGAATTTCAGAACCTCTATAAAATGTAGCGACAGACTTTAGATTTATTTTCCAATGTTTAACCTCTGTAACCATTGATTCAATATCAGAAAATGCCAAATCACACCTATCTGTTACACACCAAATACAAAGTATATCCCTTTTTAAGTATTCTCTCAACCTAACCCAAAGACCACTCTTTTTTCCAGTATTGGCACTTTCACCGTTAATTGTTAAGCCAGTTAGCTTTTCTTTGGCTATATATTCTAAACCAAGTTTTTAAAGTACTTAAAATACAATCAAGTAACCCTTCTGTACCACGTTTGCTTGAATGGCTTTCACCTAAGAAAACGTTTTTGATGGCATTTGTTTAGTTTAAATAGCGAGCGGTGATAAACTTATTGTCTATTGAATATTTATCAACCGATCCATCGATTTGAATTGAGAAACCAATAGAATTTTTCAACTCTTATGATACAGGCTCCATAACAATTTCAGCAATTATATCTTACATTTCACGATAAATATTTGGATCTTTATAATGTAAGACAGTATCAGAAGGATTAAAACTAACGAAATTTGAGTCTAAACCATGTTCATGATAAGTTGAAATTTGAGTGTCAGAATGTATTTTAGAGAGTGACCTAGATGGCCAGGAATTTGCAGATAAGGTCATAATTCTACTGTCGTTATTGACATCAATAGCTAACTCAATTAAATTGGAAACAACTTCCGACTCATGAGATTTTAAAAGTTTTAACCAAGGATGTTTATCTTATTGTGACATCCAAAGTATCTGAGTTTTTTCTGTAGAACATGCAGCGTTTTGAGCGTCACTATTTAAATGGTCTATAATTCTCATGAGTTCTTTTTTTCCATCACATCTATTCCCGTCGGCTATTGGAACTTGTGCGTTGCGAGACNAAAATAGATAGCCAATTATAGTAGGTAATAATTTAATGTTCACCCCTCATAATTATTAAAAATAAATCTTAATGCTAGAAGTAAATGGTAGATAGGTAAAAGTTATAAAAAGCGAGACAACTTTTTGGATTGTGAGATTTGATTAAAACATAAAATAAATTGAATACCTGATCGTTTTCCTAATTTTACTTTCTTCAAAAATTCGAATGTTTGAATTAACCAATTAGCATCTAACTTGGACCCTTTGTACCATTCTGAACTCGATGAAGGGCAATCAATTAAACCCTCTACTTGATTTATAGTTAAAGAAGTATTAGAATTTGAAGCTTCAGCAGGTACATTTTGAGGTAAAATATAAGATTCAGAATTAGAAGGTTTTTGTTTTTTTGAGGATACTCCAAAAAAATCTGTTATGCGTTTAGCCATAGCGATTTGAATATGAATTAAGCTAAAATGTAAGAATTAAAGAATTAAAAATTGAAAATTGATTATAAAATGTATATTGTATACTAGTGTATACATCTAATTAGTAAATAATATGTTTATGAATAAAATAATAAAAAGTGACAACCCGACGGCCAACGTAGTCAATAGTTGGTTGCGTCGTGTCCACCGCCGCGTACTACCGGTCAACTTAAATAAAAGAGATTTTCCTGTGACCCATAACCCATTGATATATTATATTTTATTCGGTATTTAATGGGGCTGTACTATAAACTATAATTATTGTATGTTTAGAAAAAAAACCAGCTGGCTATCTTATATAAAATCATAATTTAAATGTTATGATTATTTTAAATTTACCTACCTATTATGTATTATACATATTATAATTAAAATGTCTATACTCTAGAGCCTAGGCAATCAAAATTATCCAATTTACTATTCAATATTTTATTTTATTAATTCTGTACTAGTTATAAAGGTACTTACTAGTTATACTGTCGATAAAAATTCGGTCACACAAAAAGCCACAGTCTACACTCTACGGACGTCGTCAGTAGTCACAGTGCAAGACAAACGTTGAATAACTATTAATTAATATTATTGACAATACCGTGAACCGTCGCGTGTCGCGGTCATTTCGTGAATAGTTATCGGAGGCTATTTTTACACATATTTTTACACATAAGCATTTTACGCTTATATTGTTATAAATAGGTATTATTAAAATTTATTTTCTCATATTCTACAATAATAAATGCATTTTGTATTTATTTTAATATCCATAATATGACCATTATTATATGTACCTACCTACAAAATGTATTGTTATCATTAACTAATTATTTTTTTTCTACTAAAAATAAAAATTCTTCTTTAATAAATTGTGTGTCGCCCAGTCTTTAAAAATACAGTCAGACATTTGTGTCGCCCAGTTTACTAGCTTAAAAAATACACTGGGAATAAACTTTCTACCAGAACTACGTATGATTTAATAAACCATTTTCATATAAATAATGGGCACTGTACTTTATATTATTAAACATTCTGTACCTATTATTTTTATATTAACTCTACAATACTTTAATAAATTATTATGAATAATTTTCACCTAATATGAACATTAATTTATATATTACACAGCACATATTAAAACAATGTTTGTGTTTTTATAGGTGTTATCAGGGTAACAGCGAATCATTTCCCTTTTGGTCCACGGGATCGCTTTGGGATTTCCGATAACGATGACACCTCCCTAGACAGGTGTATTCGATACGAACAACAACAATGCTGACTGCAACAATAAACATATTACCTATCCATATCCACCCAATATTTTCTGATATTATTATTCAAAATTTATTATCATTTATACATACCTAATATTATAATATATTGTATACACATATGTACTTATACATTTCTTGTTTTAATACAATTTTAAAATTTCCTTACATAATAAAACACGCTTAAATTATATACGTAATTTTAATACTTATTAATTTAGTTTTAAATTTATTCTGCCTTAGATTATTATAATCCGTATATCTGTTATCCTGGATCACTGGCCAAACCTTAAGAAGGTTTTTAATTTTATTACCAACTGAAAAATTAAATAAGGAACACAAGAATAGTTAGATTCGGCAAAAATATTCTAGGATATATACATAGAATATTATACATTAAAAGATGATAATGT